AGAGCACAAAGTAGTTATTTTCAATCCTGAAGTGAAGTCACTCATTCCTACACACACACCACAAAATAATAGTAAGTAATAAAATAAGGGAACTTCATAGGCTGCCAACTGAATATAATAGTTAAGGAACCTCTTCACAATTTTCTGTATCCTCTTTCCATGAAAGAGTTAAAGTGGGCACTGTTATTGTGAAAAGGTTAGTTAGGTCAAGTGTTGAGCATGTTGTGAACTACCACATTTCTTTCTGATATTTGGAGACAGTTTTTATGAAAGAACGAGCATTTAAAACCACCAAAGTAGACGCTGACAGTTTATTGTTTAAAAATGTGTTCACCACTTTCTCCCCTCTCCTCCTCCTTTCTGCAGTCTTAATTGTGATGGCACACACAATTAAGAGTAGTCAGCAAAAGAGGACAGGGAACTAAATGGAGGGTATGTGATGGTTTGAATAAGAATGGCCCCCTACAGACCCATATATTTGAATCCTTGGTCCCCTGTTGATGGAACTGTTTTGGAAGGATTAGGTGTGGCCTTGATGGAGGAGGTGTGTCCCTCGGGAAGGGTTTTAAGGTCCACACTTTAACCAGTGTGCTTTCTGTCTCACCGTCAGGTCACAAGATGTAAGCTCCCTGCTACTACTCCAGCACCACACATGCCTTCCCCACGGGATGGTCATGAAACTCTCCCTTTGAAATGGTAAACCTCAAATAAACTCTTTCTCCTCTAAGTTGCCTTGATCTTGGTGTCTTATCACAGAAAGAGACTGGTAACAAAGACGGGGCATTACAAGAAAGGAAAAAGAGGCCGCTCCTATAGCTTGCTGACCTGATATAAAATGAGATGCTGAAGTCACGTTTACCACTTTCTAATAGTTGTCAATGAGTCTTATTTTGTCCCACCAACGACTATTTAAAAAGCTAAGCTCTCTGATTTTTCTCAATCAAACATTTAGGGCTCACACAAGCTCATTCAGTAGAGATTTTACACAGTAGTTACATGCTTGCAATTACAGTGTTCTCTTATAACTCAAAACCAAGTAAATTAAGAGAGAATTTGTATTGAAATCTTTTGAGAGAGGGGGGAGTAATTAGATTAAAAAATAAAATTTGGCTTTAAATGCACTTTTCAATTTGTTCTTTCAATACTAAATTTCTTTCAAGCATTTAATTATTTCATTACTTAGCAGAAAAGCTTCATCTTTACCTTGGAAAGCACAAAATTTAGTGCATAAAACTACTTTCTGGCCAAGCACAAATTACAAATTACTATAAAACACAGCTGAAATTATTGCATATGGACAAATTAAAATTAAAAAAAACATTTGCAAAAATAGTCATATTTTGCAAGGAGCCTTTCCCTCAGGCTAGGAGTCTTGCATGAAGTCTCCCTGTACAAGAGAAAGTAAAAGTGTCTGAAATGCATTTTCATTTTGTCAATATAAAGACCAGGACTAGTTCAGAAAGGAAATGTCTGGACCCCTGCTTCATGTCACGGTGCACAGAGGTTAAGATAATAAACTGCCTCAGGCCTCTTTCAGGGCAGCAAAACAAACCAAAATTGTCTCTGGGGTTGTAAATCGAGGAATGGTGTGGTAAAACTGAGCATGCAGAAAGAAAACTGAGGGTAAATGTTTTTTTAATGTTTGCCCTTGGGCAGGATTTTTTTTTCTATTAGTTTACTGTTCCTAGCAGATATGAAATGCTTTATCTCAGCTGTTTGGACTATTATTATTTGGGTTTAGTCTCCTACTGTGAGGGAAAAAGAAGACCTGGCAGCTATTTTAGAAATGAGAAAATGATCGTCTGGTGATAGATACAAAGAGGAGTGTGAGCCCTGGAAGGCAGAGAGAAGGAGGGCAGTGTGAGGATGAGACACCTACGCACCTGCTGCTCCTCCTACCTTCTGGAAAGGGCAATATGCTAATTTCATGCATGGGGCTAGATTTAGCCTGTTGTTCCAATTCATACACAGAAGTAAAGTGTCAGCTCTTCAAGGGCATCGGGTTATGGTTTTCACTCTCGAAACTCAACTGAGGCTGGGATAGAGTCAATGGGATGCTTCCACAAGGCACTATGAGCGAGGATCCTCTTGGTGTTACAAAGAAGAAGAAGAATACATGTAGAAACCAGTGCAGACTGGGGGGTTGTCGTTACGACTCATTAATGCTACCCCTTACGAAGCTAATGTGTAGCAAACTAATAATTTAACAATGCAATCATGGTTAAGAATTAGCTGACAAATAGGGTCATGACTTTTAATCAAAATTGGTTAGAGAGATGTTAAACAGTGGGTTTTAGTGGTAGGAACTCAGCCTCATGTCCCATATTTCACTTGTCATGGTTACATGGGGGACTAGCCCTGTAAGTTCACACAGTCTGAGTTTACTCCTTTTAAACAGGTATCTCCAAATTCATAGTTAGTTAGAACAGAATATATTCAGAAGGAAAAGTGAGTGTTAGCATTCGAACCACTGAGTTTCTGATGAAAAGGAAAATATCTAAGAAAACCATCCATGACAGGTTGGTGAGGATTGCCTCTGAGTTGACAAGTTTGGGTAAATCATCATGTGAAGCCCAGCTGATGGACTCAAGTCCTCTGTTCCTCAGGAAATGAGCAAGTTAAAGGATGACCTTTCCAGATAAGGAAGTTTAATATATTGATGTATAAGCATCATCTTCATCTTCCCTGCCTTCCCTGTCCTAATTTACTGTCTTCTCTGACTGGTTTATAGGAGTCTTCAAAAAATCTGATTAGCTTTACTTGAAAGAAACTTGCAGGAGTTTCAGGGTAATGATGTGTCAGCGCTAAACTCATTCAGCTAATCTGAGGGGAAAGTTTTAGAGTAGGAAGAGCCAGATTCAGAGTTGCTGACTTGTGAAACATGCGACAAAGTGCACTTCTACCTAAGAGCTCTCGAATTCTAGTTTTTTGATCACACAAAAGGAAAGAATGTCATGATGGGCAAAAGAAAAAAATTCAACATTAGCAGCTACAAAAACATGTGCTCACTTGAATTCTTCAAGACCAAAGTTCTCCTCTCTCATCAGGATTAGGAAAACAGCCCTTACGATTTCAAACAGAAAAAAAAAAGGCTTCCTCTTTAGATGGGGCTGAAGGGTGGTAGACAGAGACAGCCATATTTGATTAGGAGCCACATGAGTTCAGTATACCACAAGAAAGAACAGCCAGGAATGGACCTGATGCCAGCTGCTGACTACTGAGTCCTGCCCAAGAATACTGGTTGAATGAAAATCATCTTAGTTCATTAACTCATTCAGTATCAAACTACCACATATCCAAGATGTAATTTGGAACTTTGAGAATCCCAGGCATACCTCCTCCAACAAGGCTATACATCTTAACCCAAATTATTGTACCAAGTATTGAAATGTAGATGCCTCTGGAAGCCATTCATATTGAAAGCATCACATATAACAAAGTAGAAAGTGAGAGCATTATCTGTAATTATTTTGTATGTGATGGCCCAAGGAATCATTCCGTTAGACACATATTAATAAAAAGTGCTACCTGAGATGTGCATTTTTCCTTCTTCTTTCCCTGTCTCTTGGTGAACATCTCACTAACTGTATCATTCTCTCTTAATACATTTTTTCTTAAAATTGGAACTTGGGTAATTAAATATTGCTCAAAGGCAAACTAGGTATTACAAACTAGAAAACACATTTTGTATCATAATTTCTTCACCATAACTAATGGTTAATAGTAAACAAAGAATAATTTCTGGCTAGGCCTATTGCTTTCTGTTAAATGTTCTAAAACTGAAGCGAGTCTTTCTCTGTAAAATAAAAACAAAATCTTCACAAAAGTTTGGAATATATCATTTGCACTCCTGCCAACGTAAGGCCTTCCCCTGGCCTTAATCTAACAGGTTGAAAGAGGAATAAAATAAAATAATACCTAGCTCTCTGTACCAATGAAGATATCTTAAAGAATTCTCAATATTTCAGCCCTACTCTTTTGACAAATACTGGGTCAGAATGATAACAATAAAATCATTGACATAGGAGCTTTCAGCTAGTCTAACCTCAATTTCTAGGATCCACGAGGGAAAAGACAGAGCCAACACGTATTAATAAATGTATTTGTAATCCACCATTTATCAAAGACTGGACCTTTCACATCCTGTTATTTATTTTTAATTTTTTTATTTTTTATTTTTTATTACTTATGATCAGTTCCCTGGGAGAGCCATTGAGCAGTAAAAGGCCTTGACTAGTTGGCTCCTATATAAAGCCTAAGGACTCTCATTATCTTATTACCATTCCCGGCATGCTGGCAGAATTGACTTCTTGCTTTCCCACTGTGGCATGACTAATGTGCCTAGGCTTCATGGGACCACCCTGAGTCCAGTGCCCCCAGGCAGACTTGCACTTTTTAGTAT